AAAAATTTTTACATGGAAATTGTAGATCTCGTCGTCCTCTACAAGAAAGGTCATATGCAATTTTTCCGTATGTCCAACGGTTTGGTAGTTATTGGCCAAAAACGAAAATTTGGAAGAAATTGAAGGGGTACCCCTTGGAAAAATCTCGGAAAAATCGAAAATTTTTTTTTGTTGTTTATTATTAGCAATTTCCTTTCGACGTCTGATTTCTTTTTAAAAAATGCGTTTCTAAAGTGCATAAACTTTTGGGATTGACTGTATAGCCAATACATACGATTATCGTCTGTTTACGACCGACGCCGACGTACGTTTTGAATTTTGCAAAACATCGATTTCGATAATACTTTGCATTATTCTTACCTAAATTCTTGATTCAGTAATCAATTTACAAAACGATCTCGAATTCGTCTGCGTCAATTGTTATTCTTTTATAACTAATTAAAAGACAGAGAAAACTGAACAGGTGGAAAGAGATAACAGAAGATGGAAATACATAGATGATTCACTTGTGGAGCAGAAAAATCATAGGCGAACGAACAGTAGGATGCTCGCGGTGCGAGCGTAAAGTAAAAGGAGGCCAGGCTCGCGTTCACGACTCTGAACCGTGAAAATACGTGAATGTATAAGTATGTACTTGCTAAGTGCGCAGTACGACTTGTTCGACCTGCGTCACGAGCGTACAGACAGATCACGTGGCTCTCCATTGACTACTTTTCAAACCTCGCGGAAAGCCAGTGCAAATGTATAACGAATTGAAGAGCAACAGGTTGAGAATCGTGTAAGTGGAGATCATAAAATAGTGTTTCATAGTCTCTTAACAAACTGTTGGAAACTCCGAACATACATATTGTACTATACACGGTAATGAATCTTATCTTGTGAATGTCAGGTGCAACGTCACTTGCTGATGCACTATTGACTATCGCGTCGCCTTTTCAATAATTAGTTTCTACGTGTGTCAAGGAAACGGAAAGAAACTATCTTATGGCCGTAACTGCATTCGCTCTCGTTCAGCCATAAGAAAAGAACAGTTCATGATTTTCTAATAGTGTAATCACCTCTTTGATCAATAGCTATAAATTTGAGGGCCTTCGCTCCACCGCAATCAAGATATTTCCATTACGGAAGGATCGCAAATGGGAAGCTCACGCGATATCGATCCTGCGGTATCCGTTTCACGGAAGGACAGCGCCCCGATCTAAGAAGCAACGAGCTTGTCCGCCCCTTCCGATTTATGGTTGTATCTGGGTCAAGAATAATTGAACAGGCGCCACGTAAACACGCGTATCAAGTGGTTTTCTATTTTTTCTTTCGGGTTGATTACCGCACGCGGCCCGACTAAATTTAACACGAATCCGTCCACCTCAACTTGTCTCTTACCCGATCAACTTTGCCTCTTCGACGATGCTACCTGCTATCGTTCTCCGATTTTCTATTTATCGATTTAACGCTATCGAAGTGGTTCCGAACATTTTCTTTTAATTAAATCGCAAATCTGTCGATTTACGCCCTCCGAGTCGGGATTGAAAGGGAACATTGTGAGCCGCCTCTGCGTTCGTGAGCAAAACGCCTTCTCGTGGAAAACAAACTCTCGAGGCCGAGCACGATCTCTGATGGTGACGCAACGCGCTTTTTTTGCAAGGAATACTGCGAACAGGCCGACAAAGTGATTCTATGCATCAGAATCCGCGATTCGATCCACCGTCGTTCTCCACAGTCCTTTTCTGCGAGCGATCGGATCGGCGTTTAAAAAACGATGATTAACGTCGAAGAGTCAAGCGGATAATCTCGTAATTGCGGTTTTTCCGCGGTTCTCCTTTTGACATTGACCGATGGATTCACCTAAGCTGACCTAATTCCCTCTGTCATCGCTGCTTATAGCACGCGGCGCTTAGTCGCGTGCAAACTTCATTATTTCATCGCTACCCGTGTTTGCTCTAGTCATTTCTCTTTACGATCTCACTGACGTTTCCCTCAAGCGATGTTTGTTGACAGTTTGACTCTCGATCTTTACCGGAGAGAGTTACGAAACGAGCTGGTCGGTCGGCTGTCCAAGTTTCATTGAATCACTGACTCTAAGTAAGTCAAGATCATTTGCATACTTGAACGTGCACTTGTTAAATTTCGGTGTCTATAATAAAATCTTGAGCCTCGCAATTTCTTGTTTTACCACAAATCCTAATTTTTATCAAAACGATTTAATCATTTGATATTTTCACAATATTGACTCCATGTTTCTTATAAAGATATCTCTCACTGAGACTATTTTGAGATCAAAGAAAATCTTTAATAAATGCGACTGAATATCTATACATCTCGAAGAGACATCGACGAAATGTCGAACAAAAGCATAGATCGTGTACTATGTCGTTTAATAGTCGAATAAGTCACGGATTCGTGCGTTTCCGAGGTGAAGTAGAAGTGGAGCGGAGAGCCGAGTCAATGTCAACCGCGACTGGTTCTTCACAAGCACGGGACGACGCGTTTCCTTTTTGCACGAGGTGAACCAGAGAAATCGCGGGAACGAGATGCGTCTCCTTATGGAGGCCGATAGACCTCGGGCGGTTCGCCCTCGCCGTGACCGTCACGGCCGATCGTGTCCACCGATCTCCTTTTCCTGCTCCTCGCATCTCCTTTTTTGAAGCTCGTCTACAATTTAATTTCCCAAGGTCAGACTCCGAATTCTTATGCAAAGTAAAACATTTCAAAGAATAGGATTTAGATAGAAATGTCATTTATCGTTTAGAAGCATTGCAATGTGCAACGTTTATATTTTGCATATTGATTACAATTTACATATAAATGCTTAGAATAGAACCTTTCATAAAACGAGTTTTATTGACATTACGTCAGAGGAACTAAAAGTTTTCAGTACGTTTGACTTAGGTTCGGGTTAGACTGTTGCTTTACGAGGAATTATAAAAGACAGCTAAAAATATCATTCATTTGTTTGTCCATGGTTTTTAAGACGAGACAGTGATATCTATGCCGGATACGACAGCCTCGAGAAATAATAAACGCGAAAAGAAAGGTCAGCAATGGGTAGACCCGACGAAGAAGCGAAAATAGACGCTGGCCACCTATGCCAATGACCCATATTCCCTCTATTCTCGGCTTGCCGCGAATTAAATTTCGCCATTTTTAATGCCGCATCGACCATCGTCCTCGGTTCTCTCCAATTTCGTACTTTTCCACCTCGAACGTTTTCTAAATACGAAGTCCTCCAATAATAATCATATGTAATAACTGATTTTTTAATTTCGTTAAGAGATATTTTATATGAATTTTCTTCTTCATAGAATTCGATGAATTTATAATTTCTTATATTTGAACGAAATTTTATTTGGTCTCTCAAGGTTTTCTGATAGTATCAGTAAACATCATGCTGTTTAACAATCAAATGACAATTCTTATTGGCTCACTGTATGTAAATAGCCGTATTTGATGGCACACGTTTCGTCATCGACATTTGCATAGTTAGAAATCGTTAAGTCGTTACTTAGTCGATCTGAAATAAAAATGAGCTAAGAAATGTTGTAACGAGTCGTCAGCCTCGACGTAACGATTACATCACGTGGGCGTGCGAATATTATGGGCGTCGAGGGATTCGAGGAAAGGAAAATGAACCGTTCCGTGACATTTAGCTCCGTATAAGCAATCTGATCGATGAACCTGAGCCGTTTCGTCATAATCTACTGAATTCGGCTCGTGACTCAATGGTGAGTCATTCGAGCGCTCAAAGTAAAACAAAAATTTGTTCAATTTCCACCCTCCGAATATAGACCATCCGCCTTCACTTGAAATGTTTCCATACGATTAGAACATCGTCGATTCTACGCGCGCGTTGTCGCGGCATTTAACGCGGAATGCTAAACAGTGGCCGTGAGAAAAAAAAACACGACACGCTGATTCGACAAGAATGAGGAATCGGTTGTCCATCAGCTTTATAAATACGCGAACACCACTTGGATTCTAATTCTAATCGTGATCTAAATTCTATCGGACTACCTGCTCGACACACACGCGCGCGAATCTAATCGGCAGAACGATCACAGAGCTGTTCGCCGTTACGTTTCAGGAACACAGTTCGCATTTATCATTTCCCTGTTTTTCCAGGATGCAGCTCGCGTCGTGTTGCAGATGTTACTCGCTGAAAGCGGGGACCCTGTTCACCGGAATATTGGGCATTGTAAGTAGAACACAACTACCCCTAACAAAAGTCCTTATACTACATTGGTAAAAAAATTCTTTACTCAACAAATGAAAACGCTATAACAATTGTTTCATACATTTTATTACATCGAAGCTTTAAATGTTCCTATTTACTATTATTTGATTACATATGACGTATAATTAAAATGGAACGTTCCTTAATTGCAAATCTGTTTGTGCATCAGATTCTGTCCATCATCTCGTTGGTCTTGATCTTCACGTTGAACGTCGAATGGAAAACGATACTGATCGACGTGCTGGACCAGAGCATAGTCAAGATCATTTTCGCTGTCAACCTCTGCATGACGATTCTGATCTCGACGTTGCTCATAATAGGAGCCCTCAAGGTAGGATCCACTCGAAAGGCGTTCATCGGTTTTAATCGATGAATCATAAACCGTGCCAGCCGTTACTTGCATTTTAATAATGCTTGTGATAAATACGCGGATTGAGGATAGTGTGATCTTGCAGAGGAACACGTTTATGATGCTACCATGGGTAGTTCTGGGGTTGATCCTGGCGATCGGCTTGCTAGTAAGCGTTCTCTATACGTCCATCATGTTCTTCGTGAATCATGAGGTGATCAATGGAATCTTGTGGCTCATCATTGGTCTCGTTGCAGTCGGTAAGTCGCATAGTTAATCTTATATTATATTATATTAGATTCTCTTTGGATCAATTAGTATTTCTATTAAGCACACTGCAAGCAAGATTTTTTTTTTAAACGAGAAGTTGTTTGTTTTTTGCAAGAGTTATTTTATTAATATTTAACCATAATTAATGCCCATTGTTTAATATTTTTCAGTGGTCTACACGTACTTATGGCTGGTGGTATACAGTTACTTCCAGCAGTTAAGGTACGATAAAATGAACAGCAGAATCGGGCCGTACGGAAGGCCGTACAATTATCGACGACCTTGAGACGACTAGGTGATTTCATGACGAAAAATTAAGATCTTATGATGTCCTCTTCACAAAGGAATTAGGGTATCAAAACCCTTTGTATCAAAGGAATCGAAATTTCGGTCGCGTGAAATTACGATCTAATTGCTTCGAGAGTTCAATTCAAATCCAGCTAACGTGATTGCACCAAAGTCTGAGGCGTCGCCTTCTGCCGCGATCTTACGAGCATAGGCATACTACTGGAGGGAGCTTTCTTAAAAACGACGGGATAGAAATATTTAGCTGTATATTATCTCCCCCTCGTAGAACGGTATTGGCTACAATTCCCTTCCCTTACTTCTTTGTGACAAGCAATTTAAAGAAGTCCCATGCTACGAGACAAAGACAGCATGCGAACAAATTATATCTGTCTCTTTTTACTTTCCACACGTATGGAAGCTTCCTCTACTAGTTCATGCTCTAAGGCGGCGATTGTTTATAAAGTTAATTAATAATTAGAATTTATTTATGACACCGAGAAACTTCCCCGAATGATAAGTGAGATCTTTGTTAAAGAACGATTGTATCATTGAGGAGAGAGAATCATGCAACATTATTGTATAAACCAAGATTTAATTTCAAGAAGTTTTACTGATTTAATATCATTCGGAGATGATTGTAAAACGAGAAACACTTAAACCTCGGGAAAAATGCGTTTTTCGAGAAACGAATACTGCCGTTCCGCTAAGACGCAATATCAAAAAAGAAAAAAGGTGAGACTGAATCCCCACTGGGGAATGATTATAAATATTATACATATTCAACGGATAACGAGAATGTGGCATATTTAGGTATATGCAAAAATGATAGGCGTTGTCACACTGCGAAAACCAGTCTCTCCTACGCAAGGTTAACGACTGATTTTATTTATTTCCCTCTCCCCTCCATTTATCTCCCTCAAACTCCTCCACTCCACCTTTACTCTTTCTACCGTGCACATATCTTTGTAACCATTGTTATAAACAATAAATTAATTTCTGTTTGTAATTCCTTCTTACTTTGTTCGATCCTATTCGAGTTCTCCTTTGAACGTATAATTTATGCCGTGGACGTTTGTTCGCCAGCGTTCTCCAGATTCTCACGGATAAATAAAGAAAGCGAGGCGGCGGCGAGACCAGTAGCGTGATTGTCGCAACCGAAGTCCGTTTGGCTCGAGGCTCTCCGCGACACGCGTGTTCCGTTCTTTGAAAACTTGTTCCTGGAAAGATGAACTTTTGCCATCACAGAATTTATTCACAAAGAGAAAAAGAACGGAGCAATCGTATTACCCGAAGGAGCTGTAGCAGCCGCTAGGATGAGACCAGTCCAATACCAATCGTTCATAGTGCGCGTCCGTGAATTCCAAGAAACCTTCCATGCCGCATAGGACAACTTGCAAGAAAACGAACAATTTTTAACAAAAAATAGGAGTGTCGGAACACCGCGTTTTTTTCTTACCTTGTTCCATCATTAAATCTGCTGTCTGATAAGGAAATCCGGCAGACTCGATTTCCGTCAAATCTTGAAGGATAGCGGAACAGTACGAGAGTATCAGTTCTGTTGTTGGAAAACCCAGATCGCACTCCATCTGAAATGAAACAAATTCAAATTGAACGAAGGTATATTAATTTATTAATTAAAAATACTAGAATTATTTAGGACTTTAGAAAATTATTAGAAATTATATTAGAAAATTAGAAGTATGATGTACCACGCTAGCAACTTGGACAATGAACAATCGATGAGTGAGAGGATATCCCCGGCTGAATTCGCTATCTGTTAATATCTTAAAACAGAAATCAGGAATTCTATAGTTCGAATTCAATCGACTCCGAATAATTTCGGTGAGGCAGCGATCGTTCTCTTTCTCTTTGGGTGTTCCTTGCATCACCAATTCGCGTACGTCCCAACACGTCGATTTGCGATTCATTTTGCCTTTTTCTAAAGCGCCACGTCGCCATAATATAGGTTTCATCCACAAAACCGGATGATTCAACGTTTTCTGCACTGCAATCGAACAGCTTCGTTTTTCTATTTAAAAAGAGAAAAATTGAATCACCTTTTAATTTGTATCTGCTTACGTAGTTGGCTATCCTCATCCTCGGGAATAACTTTGCGCATCAGATTTCGCCGTGTCATGACACAAAGTTTGAAAATCGTCACAAGCATATTGTGATGTTTATCTTCCAGGTAACGCACATTCTCGTGTAAGAGAGCAGCGGCTGTATTAGCTATTCGCAAAGTAAAATACGACTTTATTTTATTTTAAATTTTTAGAGTTTTTCATTTTTGGAGTATACTCGATGTACCTTCGGCGATGGTTACAGAAAATGTTGCGTCGACGTTCATCTGATGAGGTCTTTGATGAATATAATTTATCACTTTATAAAGGGCAATTAATTTTTCCTCTGCAATCAGCACAGTTTTAAATCGCAATATAAAACCCATTTTTTAATCGTTATAGAATTTAGCCAAGTAATTTAAATTATAGAAATCTATTGAATTAAATAAAATACCGAAGGCTATCTCTTTTTCACTCTCACCAAAGTTTTGAGGAACGAGTTTTCCGCGACTCCATGGCGAAAAGCTATAGAGAAGCAGGAGCGTCCAAGTACCGAGGCATCTCGAAAGCGTTTTCATGCTCCTCTCGATCCTGAAGGAACTGATCCTCGATTTCCCGAGGACTTTATAGCGACGACCCCACCATTCACCCCCACACGTGCGTTTCAATCAAAGTTGAACCGCTTGAAAAGCTCTTCGTCACGTAAAACGGGAATGCGGCCACTTTTCTTCATAAGTCGAATCCTGACAGCGAAGTGGTCGCAGACCACCAGTGGGTGTTTGATTAACATCCGAGAGAAGCAATTGTAGAAAAGTAACGTTTATTCTGGTGTGAAATAAGGAAAACAGATAGGGCGTGGAATAAATCTTGATTAAATCGACGAAGGTGCACATTTCTGTTTTATTGATAAAAGTAATGCGGTACAGAATGACAATTTTTTAATCAATCTTTTCTGGAATGAGAAAACGATCCGGTGAAAAGAAATTTAAAAGCAGTCGGGGTGAAACGGGTTCATGTAATCCCCGGAAACGCAACCGATCACACCATCCCTGACTTTCACGCATTTTCCTGCCCTCTTCCTGGTCTGAAAGTTGACGTAACGATGTACTTTATAATTTGAAATTAATCTAATATTCGGAACTTACTATTTGGTATTCGATCTGACAAAATCTGCCGTCGCTTTCGTCCGAGTCAGCTTGTAACGATTTAATCTAGATTTCGGTGAAAATACAACATTTAATAAATCGCACGCGATGAAGATTGTAGATTTGACAAATGAATTAAATCTTTCACCATAGTGGGATAACCATGCGTCACAATTATGGGCCTTTGAACGCTAGTTATTAATTCGGTGGATCCTACGGTTTTCGACGTGAAAACCGAGATCGTAATCAGAAAGATAAAGTAGATCGAATTCGATGCCCTTAATATAAAATAGTAAATATATTATTATATTAAATTGCTTTTATATTTCGATGAAAAACTGATTAATAACTTGGATAACTTACATACTAAACGTTATACACCTTGACAACGTTGAACTACTCGTTAGATAAGATGAATCGTTAAGGAGTAACGTAACACTGTCATTGTCCTAGCTACACAAGTATCTTTTATATTCGTCGAGAAGCCAACAAATATCTTTCCAATTACGAAAGAGTTTCGTACCTAAAGTGATTCACGATTGTCTTCGAAGTGTATGTAACACTAGCATACGAATTACAACACTTCGTTAATTGTATTCTGTTGAACGCCTATTATGTTTGCAAATTCAAATGGTTTTTACTAATAAAGAGAGAGAGGATATTTATAAAAATAATGGTTTATTTAGTTCATTTGCTCAGCAATATCGAATACAACTACATATTTGTATTTGATAAAACAATGATTATTGCGTCGGATGTTTACGACTTATACGTACACATGTAAATCGTATCTTTAACATTCAATATTTAAAGTGCTGGATGGTTCAGATTTACAGCAAACAATCGTTACAACAATTTTTATATGATGATTCATATTTAATTACATTATATTTAACTTACGTCTACGTATGTAATCCTGGACGGACGATGTGAAAATGTGTTAGCTAATAAAAAAATCAATCTCCTATGGAATTATACGCAAGTGATGTATTTAATACACGCTCATACATAGAATATTATTCCGTGCTTTCATAAATCCTGAATGACGTAGTCCAATTCATCAAACGAAACGTAATATACTGAAGGGAAAATCAAAGTAATAGTTCAGCCTTCTTTAATCATTTATATCTTCTAAATCTGTACATATACTCTTAACTTTTTAATATATACACATATTCACGTAATTTACATGAATTTCTTCCAATTAATAAATAATCATAAAGAATTTAATGACTGTATTCTCTACCTTCTTTAATCCACATTTCAGAAGATAATCATTTAACAGTCTAAGCTATAACTTAATATAAAGCTAAGACTCGGATGTTTCAATGTTACAGAATCGAATAAATATACGACATGAAAGTAAAAAGTACGAAAAAAGTAAAATTAAGCAGTTATCGACCATTGGTATTCACTCAAGAGCTTAGCTATTCGTTTGAAACGTGTTTTACCTTCTTTGTAACATGATATACAAATTGAGAATAGTATTGAATACTAATTAATAAATCTTTTATGTAACTTCAACGCACTCTCAGCCTAAAACAATTATTACAATAGAACTGAATAAAGATATGAACAATGCTTCTTTATCCTTGAAGTTCTTATTATGTATGCAGCGAGAAGCAGCTTTTGCATTTTCTATGCAGCAATTTAAAACTTTCATCAGTTTCATCATATAATGTACGAATAATTCAGATGTAAATCTAAACTGTTAATCACGCATGATTATGCTGTTCAGGATTGTTTTCAAATTCAATTTCCAATTGAAGTCTATAGTCCATGGCGACAAACACGATGACCAGGAGCATCGGTAGACGAAACCGTGATTGCCAGCCAAGTTTGAGCATAAACATTAGCGCTCGATGAAAAGTTCCACCGCTTCCTAAGAAGAATGCCATTGTTTTCATGATCCCATGTATCGATCCGAAAGCTGTTCCTGTTCTTCTTCGATGATTCCCTTCCAAATGGAGGAGATAAACTATAATCTCCGAACGGCTGATTCCATATTCTGATTTAACCTGTGAAAAATCATGCAAGATAACGTTTACTTACAGTTGTATAGTAATATTCGCAAATTGTCAAACATTTGTTCTCAAGTAACTTGGTACGTGTAAAAAGAATTTAAAGAAAATTTCTTACCTATTAATATGCAATCTAGCTTTCAAAGTCATGAACGCAGTTTGCATATCGTAGTTTAAAAATAGCACACAATAATAAATTACATGCTATTCTTCCCTCGATAAACGTCGTCTCGCCGAGGTTAGAACTTCTGCTAACGGCTGTGTTCACGAAACAGGGCACGGAGTTATTCATCAATTATCAAACCACTGTATAATTGCAACGAAATTTTATCCGGTAACAGATTTACTAAATTCTTTATCGTATTTTGATTACTCTATCTTACGAAGCACTTCTCAGCTCTTGCAACGTTTTACTTTCACGTATCGACCAGTATTGACGTATCGATTACGTGTTCGACGATTCGATACGTCAAACTTTCAAATTCAAAAGTGTAGGCGCACCAAGTAAGCGATAATTATTTTCCATTACTACATGATTACAATTTCCAAGTAATAAAAACAAATTATAAAATAGTCAAATGTGTCTTCTAAAACACTGCTTAGATTTAACAGAGAATTGTTGCGGAGTATTAATCGCGTCCGTTTGTCTATACATCTAACTAAAATAAGAAAAATTTATTCGATCACAGTATTAACAACATTATAGTATTAACAACATATAGTCATAAAAGTACCAAATAATTTGAATAAGTATCGCAGTTTTATCTTGCCGTCTAGAGCATAGAACGAGATCAGCAGCGTTATCGGTGCACATAGTCAAAGATCATAAGTGGGGCAAGGCAAAAGGAAAAGCATAGTTAACAAGCATCATTTCACAGTAGTTGTTACACATCCTTCGCTATGAACATCAACTTCGTAGGGAAACGTATTCTCGTAACAGGTGCCGGACAAGGTATGTTAAATAATAATAATATATGCGCTTCATCCTCGATTTAATTACACACATATTTCTAATTTAAATTAAAAACTGTATCTGTATCACCGACAAAATACTATTAAAAGAGTGACAGTGAATGGGACCCAGTAGTGTTCAAAATTAATATAGTGGCTGATCGCTCTTTTCGGTGGAGTTAAAAATGAACAGATTACAATTACGTAAACGAGATAAGTAACAATTACGATGAATCTGTCAATTAAATGAAACAGATTAGACTCACTAAGAGAGGAAAAGAATTCCATCATCATTTTAAATAAATGAACAAGCGAACGTTTGAATTATATCATCCTCCAACGCTATACCAGAGATGAAGAGATACTCTTCATCTCTGGCTATACATATAGTATACATTCAAACAAGGCCTATTCAATTCAATCGTGGAGAAAATTGCCCGACTTAATAGATCACATGTTGCACCGTAGGCATCGGCAAGGAGATGGCTCTCCGTCTCTCAAGTTACGGGGGTCAAGTGATAGCGCTCTCCAGAACGAAAGAGAACTTGGAGAAACTACGCGCAGAGGATCCTAAGATTCAGACCGTATGCGTCGATCTCTGCGACTGGGATGCTACTAAAAAAGCCGTCGAGCAGGTGTTACCTATCGACCTCCTGGTGAACAATGCTGCCGTCGCGTGTCTCAATCCTTTCTTCGACGCGACGCCGGAAGACTTCGACCTGACCTTCACCGTAAACGTGAAATCGATGCTGAACGTCAGTCAGGTGGTCGCAAAGAATATGATTGAGAGAAAAATTGCTGGCAGCATCGTGAATCTCTCCTCGCAGGCCAGCCAGGCTGCTTTGAAGGACCACACTGTTTACTGTGCCTCCAAAGGAGCAGTGGACATGTTGTCCAAGTAAGAAGCCGATTAAGGATGTATTGGCTATACAGTCAATCCCAAAAGTTTATGCACTTTAGAAACGCATTTTTTAAAAAGAAATCAGACGTCGGAAGGAAATTGCTAATAATAAACAACAACAAAAAATTTTCGATTTTTCCGAGATTTTTCCAAGGGGTACCCCTTCAAATTTTGCAAAAATTTCGTTTTTCCTCAATAACTCCTAAACTGTTGGTCGTACGGGAAAATTGCATATAACCTTTCTTGTAGAGGATGACGAGATCTACAATTTCCATGTAACAAGTTTTCCCTATCGTCAATAGTTCACGAGTAATTTGCAAAAAACTGTTTTTTTGTTTTTCGTCAATAACTCGTTAACTATCGATGCTAGCGAAAACTTTTTATACAGAAATTGTAGATCTCGTCGTCC